GAAAACACTTTCTTACCCTTCCATGCATAGTTTTCCTGCCCTATACAGATTTGAGCATTCTGGTATTCTACTTTTCTATATATCCGCTCAATTAGACATGATTTATCACGTTTAAAAGCACAAATAAGTGTGTAAAAACGCACCTAACAATATAATTCACTGTAAAAATATGAGTTACTTTTTTTCAACACTATAAATTATTATCCAATCTATTTTACTAAACATACCAAAATCGTTGTCAGTCTTGCTTTGGAAGTTTGGGTTTTACATTGAATAAATATCCAGATCAATACAATAAAGAAAATGAAACTCTATTTATAAGCTTTTACAACATAAAAACTTTGTATGCTAGTTTCTGTCGAAATTATTGCCTTCTCATTTCATAGTATATTCTTAATTTCAAGAATGCAGTGCTAATCAAGCTGCTTTGAGAGCCTCCACGCTTATATTTCATCACCACCATTGTGGAGAATTTGGTCGATCAGCTTCTCCGGCAGTCTTTTAGTAGCCTGCAAATGAAGGTGCAGGGGGCTCGGATTATTAGCCTTGAAATGCCACATTGATATAGAGAAAAGCGGAAAAAGGCTAATGTTAACCTGAAAATCTCGCATATGCAGAATTGGTTCGCAACCAACATCAGCTATCAGTTTTCCCTTTGGAGTCTCTAAACTGAACCGTGCAGCCTCGTAAGCCGAAAGGCTATCTTTGTCATGGGGCAAGCTATGGCAAACTTTGAGAAGCGAGCTAAGCGAGTTCATCTAATAGATCAAAAAGAAAATGAGAGAGAAGCACTGGAAAATACACAACTAAAAGAAAACTAGACTGCCATCTACTCATCGATCAAGTTCAGTATGCATTTGACAGTCCTTTGCAGGCTCAGAAACTATTTCCTTCAAATCAAGGTAAAAAGCTCACGAATATTAAAGAAGTCCACTGGCTCATAATCAATGCCACCAAAAATCACATTCAGGCATGTTTTGCAGTTCTGGCAAGCCTTGCATTAAAGGAGGGGTGTGCCAGTGTAATCACCTTACCACTCCACATAACTAAAATAGCTCAAGGAATACTGTTACAAGTGGAAGCTGACTTTTTTAAGAGACTGACATGTTGACTGTCGGGGCAATAAAATTATTTCTTCACAGAGACAAGAACTTCTCTATGTCTCCAGGGCACTTCCAAGTCTACTTAACGATTCTATTAAAATTTATGGCATTTGCTTAGCCACTTCAATGCATTTTAAATATACGGGAGGAGGGAAAATTTAAGTGAATGCCTATATACAATCAATCTGAAAGGCCATCATAGGCATACAGAATATAAATGGCTGAAATCAATAGGTGTTATTCACATATAAAATGGTAAAGAAGTAATGATAACACAAAATAAAAAGATGACTGGTTCAAATACTAAATCTGATCGATGTAGTCAAAGTTTAAATAAAATAAAATTGAATATGGGATTAGCTAACCTTCATGTAAGGACAGGATGCACAGCCACCATGAATAGAACACCCCTCTCCACTTGTAACTCCAGGTATAACAGGTATATTCAAGAACTCCAATGCTTTACCCAGAGACGAGTTTGGCATTTTGGTCACTGACTCTGATGAGACAGGAAATATAATCTCAACGCTAACTTTAGCTCTTGCTGAGGACTTCATAGACCCTAATAAAATGCGGACTGCTGTAACAATTGAAGTCACCATTCCTGATTCGGTTCCTAAAACAAACTGAAGATGGTCATCGATATTTCTATCTAAAGCCTCTTGCAGCCTCTGTTTGATGAAGTCCAATATATTTTGGGTGGAACCTACTACCCCCATTCCCCTTCGCTTCGCTTCCATTGCTAAAGAGAACATCTCACCAGGAACTTCAAAATGGGCAGTTAAGAATGCATCACAGTACATTTCATTTATCTTCTCCACAACTTCATGACCAAAAAGGTGATGAACAATGCATGTTCCATCCTGGTTCAAGAAAATTTTTGTAAGTACAAAAATACTAACAGCTTGTTTCGTAGGGTGAATTCCCTAGTACTTACAGGACATACTAAAGAAGAAAAGAATTTGAAACCTTGTATATAGCTAATACCGGGTACTAAACATGCCATAGTTGGAAGTGAGGTAGATTTGTGTGTTTTGTTGGGGGGGGGGGGGGGGGGGGGGGG